TGTAAACAGAATCCTGCAGTATGTCTACTTGGTATTCCTGGGTTTTTTGTTGAACACAATGTTTTTAAGATTTCTGCATGATGCACGGGTTAGTAGTTCATTCTCTCTTATTGCTGAATAGCATTATTGTATGACGAGATCACAATTTGTTTATCCATTCTTAACTGGTGGACATTAGGTTGTTACAAGCGCTTGGTTATGATGAGTAATGTAAAAAACATTCTTGTGCAAACATTTTTTTGCTGGCATATATTTTTATTTATTTTGGACAAATACCTAGGGGTGGAAATGCCAAACCATGAAGTAGGTATATTTTAACTTTCTTAGAAACAGCTTTCCAAAGTGATTGAACTATTTACACACCCAGCAGAAATGTGTGGGAGTTCCAATCGCTCCACATCCTTGGTCCTTGTCATTTGGTGTTTTCGCTCTTTTAAGTTTTAGCCATTCTAATAGATGTGAAGTGGTATCTATTGCATTTTAATTTGCATTTCTCTAGTGACTGGTATTGAACATCTTTTCAGATGCTAATTTGCATATGTTCATTTGTTACCTGCTCAAGACTGTTGCCTATGAGGAACATACTGTTGAGGGAAACTGATATTAATGGCACATTATATGTTGAAAGCAATTGATGTTGGTGACACATTCTAAATGGACTAGGACAACAGAACCATTTACACACTGTCACTGGGAAGTGAATGGCTGGAATATGGGAAAACCTTGCGTATATGATGTTGGATGAGTTTACATTTAAGTAACTTTAAAATATAGAAAACCAAAAATATAAACATTAAGCGACTTTAAATTATATAAAAATAACTTCAAAATTTAAAGACTTTAAATCATGCTTTATCCCTTGTACGTGGCGAGCTCTTGAAGGTGGGGATGTGCTTCTCCACTGGCTAAGCGAGAATGGTGAGAAAGCAGAGGAAGCCCACTCGCTGATTCAGCCTGCCTGGGGCTGGGCTGGGCTGGGCACCACACCAGGGCCCTGCCTGCCAGCCTGGTTTTCTGTTTCTGTAGTCAGCAGGCGGCACTGCCAGAAATACAGAAAACACTGACACCAGGACTATTTCTGAGATTGCATGTGGGCGCACAAACATCGTGTGGGTAGTTTCAGCCCTAACCCTGGCGCACAGCTATAGTGTTTGCTATTTATTTTTATGCGGATGTCAGCAACCCGTTTCAGACCTCCCTGGGTCAGCTTCTTCGTGGGCGGGGACAGCCCGCGCCTTTTGGAATATAAACTTCCAGGCGACTGATGGACAACTGCTCTGGGGGTGCCTGCGCCTCAAAGGCACCCTGAGACCTGGGCGCTCGGCCAGGCCCATCTCCAACTAGGACTCCAAGGAGCTGGTGTAGGTGCTACACTGACGTTTTGTTAAAAACTAGTCCAACGGGA